CTCTTGTTCCTAGATCCAGCCACTTTTTAGTTCCTAGTTCTAACAAATCCTACTTTCCAAGAAATAAATATTTATTAGATAGTTTGGAAAAATCCCATTTCTTCCTTAGTCCTTCAAGGGAGATGAGGAATTTCTGTCTTTGACAATTTGTTCATTGACAAGCCTATAGTTTGCTTTGAATTTTATAAACATTGTGTTTTGTGTTTCGAATCTCCACGTGGGTTTTGTTCACTCCCAGGCACGTGCGGTTAATGGATTGGTCCTACCATGCTGAAGCAACTAGAATGTACTCTAATTATCTTAGTGTGCTCTATTATAACACAAGCTTCTAGATCTGGCCTTTCTCACCCTTTCCCTTCTTTGTCCTTTTACATTTCCTATTCTTCCATCTTAAAGTATTTAACTTCACTAGTACTACAGGGATTTGCTTTTCCAGAGATTGCTCACGTTCAGGGATGTGGCTTGGACTTTTCTCAGGAAGAGTGGGAGTGCCTGGACTCCGCTCAGAAGAATTTGTACAGAGATACAATGTTACAGAACGAGAGCAACCTGATCTCAGTGGGTAAGCACATCCATCTCCAAAGATTTCTGGAGTTTCTTCTTCCTTATTTGCGCATTTCCAGGTTGTCTTTCAGGTGCATGGCAGAACTGCTCTCCCCTCCTCTTAAGGGCGTGCTTTGTGCTTTGCAGACTGGGAAATGGGCCGCTCTATTGAGCTTTCGTCCTCTTTCTCATCCCTTCTGCACTTGCCTGTCTTCCTTAATTTCTAAGGGACAGAATTTGAATTCTGGAACTTCTACAGTACCATCAAGTCCTATTTCTTTTCTTATGATCAGGATGTTCCATTTCTAAGCCAGATGTGGTCTCCTTCTTGGAACAGGGGAAAGGGCCCTGGATGGTTGCCAGGGACGTGACAGAAGGACTGTCCCCAGTGAGCAAAGGTTGACCAGGTAGGGGAAAGCCCCAGAAACAACACTGAGATCTTTGGTGGGAAGGTCTCCTCAAAGGCCATGGCCTATGGAGAAAGACCAGGGACATTGGGAGGAGATAAGGTCTTTTCAGCATGACCCTTCTGTATCCTCAATGATTATTCTCTGGGCCCTTACCTCAATTTCCCTCTCATTTCAAAAAGGAATGTGCCCTCGTTCTTCCCCAGTAGACACCCTTTACTAGCTCTTAAGTTCTTGTTCCTTTTCATTTGCTCGTTTGTATTTATACTTGTGTCTTCATCCCCCGCAAATGCCTATTTTTAAAAAACACTTCTGATCATTTTTTCTTACTGTCCAATGGCTTATTCCTTTTTTTGACCAGTTAATTTTGACTTAGCAATTTTTTTAACCATTTCTTGGTGTTTCTAATTCATGAAAGTCTCTTCCAAGGTCGTGTGTGAGAAGGAGTAAAGCGCAGTAAGAGCAAGACTGCTGGGGTTTGATGTCCGGCTCTCCCATTTTCTAGCTTACCTTGCGCAACTTGCCTCAGTTTTCTTATCTGTAAAACTGTAATTATTTTTTTATTTTTTTTAATTTTATTTTTAAGATTTTTAAAAAAATTTTTTTCTCCCCAAAGCCCCCCGCCGTTACATAGTTGTATATTCTTCGCTGTGGGTCCACCTAGTTGTGGCATGTGGGACGCTGCCCCAGCGTGGTCTGATGAGCAGTGCCATGTCCGCGCCCAGGATTCGAACCAACGAAATACTGGGCCGCCTGCAGCAGAGCGCGCGAACCTAACCACTCGGCCACGGGGCCGGCCCCTGTAAAACTGTAATTATAATAATACTTACATCATAAGGATTCAATGGAGCAAATGAAAAACTGTTAGTTCTTTACCGACCTCTTAGTAATTAAGACTATCAATAATGTCACATAACAACTGTGATCACCTTTTCAGAAAATTTTGTGTTGATAATGAAGAATATGTGAGGTCTGAGAGAGCAGCAAACAGCAAAACAGCACATGCTCTACGGCTTTGATTGTTTTTGAAACTTAATGAAGTACCACTTCAACTGCAAGAGATTTTACTTATGATGATAGACCGAAGATGCATGTTAACATGTCTCAGTCCATTCAGGCTGCTGTAACAACGCACCATAGACTGGGTGACCTATAACCAGCAGAAAGGTATTGCCCCCAGTTCTGGAGACAGGAAGTCCAAGATCAGAGTGCCAGCATCGTCAGGGTCCGGTGAGGGCCCTCTTCTGGGTTGCAGACTTCTGGCATGGTGGAAGGGGCGAGCTAGCTCTCTGGGGTCTCTTTCATAAGGGCACTAATCTCAAACCTAATGACCTAATCACCTTCCAAAGGCCCCCCTCGCATACTATCTCTTTGGGGGTTAGGATTTCAACACATGAATTTTTGGGGGACACAAACATTCAGGCCATAGCAACGTCCATCACTGTAAAACTGGAAATATTTAAAAGCAATTTATGAGAAAATATCATGGTGTGTGGGAGCTCAAGTCAATAAATTGCTCACTGAGAATGATTTTAAAAATTATTCAAATAATTTGTGTTCTTTAAAGATGAAATGAAAACTCGATTTTCAGATTTATTTTCTTTTGAAATGAAGCCATGAATGTTGGCTCCAGTCAGATGCAATGCCCAGTCTGCTAGTGAAGAAATTCAAGAACTCAATTAATTTAATGTAAGAAAGAATGCAAATATGAATTTGAAAGTGTGGAATGGCTAAGCTATGGGGGTCAAAAACAAACTTCTTTAATCCAACAATGTGGTCTGAAATGGCAAAAATGCCGGTTATCTTGAGAATCATATATAACTAATCTGTCTGCTTTACATCTGTACTTCCTATTAAAGAGACACCTCAATCTTAATGTGTCCAAAACAGCATTCTTGCTTCCATGCGTCTCCCCATGCTCCTAAATGGCACGACCAACTTCTCAGTGGCTGAATCAGAAAACCTAAAAATTATCTTTGATAACTCCTTTTTTCTCTTCAGCTACCTCAAGTCCTATTTTTACCTCAAAAATATATCTCAAACTGTCCATTTCTCTTCTTTCCCCCTGTAACATTTCCAGTGTAAGCCACTGTCATCCCTACATTGAATTACGGCAGTAGTTTACTTGCTTTCTCTGATTTCACTCAGGCTCCCCCCAATCCATTTTCTACAGATAGCAATCTTTTCAAAATGTAATTCATACTGAAGACCCTTCAGTGGACCGCTTTCCCCCTCCCTAAGCTGCAGCCACACCAGCTTCCTTTCTGTGACTGGCATACCCCAAGCTCTGTCTTATTTCAAAGTCTTGAGAGTCCCTATCCCTCTCGTTAGAACACTCTTCCACACTGCTGCTTCCTTACCATCCCAGCTCTGTTATCTCTCGGACATCTTCCCTAACAATTCTACTGAAAATATCACCTAGCTTACTCTTTATCACCTATTTCTTTCTTTTGCAGTATTTATCACAATATCAAATTACCTCATTTCCCTCCTTTACTTTTTTCACTTTTTTCCCCCTTTGCCACTAGAATGTAAAACTCATGTAGGCAGTGGCCATGTTCGCCTACTTGTTCCTAAGTACCATTAAACAGGAGCAAAGAGCGGCAGTATGCTTCAGACAACTTTCAGCTGTTGGTACCTGCATCTCTGTGCCTGAGGGATTTTTTCATAGCTGTGAAATACCGCTCTGCCCAGGAGAGGGCAGCAGGTCACAAGGAAGGGGAATCAACATCCCCCAGGGACTGGTATGTAACTATCCCAGCTCCCTCACCACTGGGAGGGATGGGAGTAATTGTGGCACGCGTTCTTTCAGAAAATCTTATCAGTCAGAATTGTTCGAGAAAAAAAAAAAGTCTGCAAGACTGAAGCTGAGATGAATAGGTTGGCATTTTACTCAATGGCTTAATGGAAGATCTAGAAAGTAGAATGATTTTCTTCGTTTAAAATATTATAATAAGACACTAAATTTCTAAACCTTTACTATTCAGCTTAAAGAGAACAAGTCAGGAAATGAATACCCAAGTCAGTTTCTCTGAGAAATTGAATTCTCTTCACAAAGACACTGCATGTATCATTATTTAAATAACAGGATAATAACAAATATATGAGTCCAACCAATCTGTTGCAAAATAATGCTAGAAATGATGAGAAAATAGACTATACATAATATACCATACACAGTAAAACAGCAAATTAAAATGTTTAACTTATTATACTGCCACTCTGATTTCATTTTTTTTTTTTTTTGAGGAAGATTAGCCCTGAGCTAACTACTGCCTATCTTCCTCTTTTTGCTGAGGAAGACTGGCCCTGAGCTAACATCCATGCCCATCTTCCTCTGTTTTATACCACAGCATGGCTTTTGCCAAGCAGTGCCATGTCCACACCCGGGATCTGAACCAGTGAACCTGGGGCTGCCAAGAAGCAGGACGTGGGCACTTAACCGCTACACCACTGGGCCAGCCCCTGATTTCATTTTTAATAAACTAGTTAAGTAATTTAATTTTATACAGTAAGCAGTTAGTTTTCAGAAATACTTTCTATTAGAAAAGATTCTTTTCTCCCCCATTAAAAAACAAAACTTCATACAATTGAATCTAACAGTTTTGAGTAACTTCCAAAAACTTCACCACTATAGGAAAGGTTGATATTAGCTGCTAAGAACTAAAACTTTAAAAAAAATTGACACTGCAAAAAATCATATCAGTGATGTCAAAGGCAAAGTTCTCCCAGGATTCAGAGGAAAGAGATGAAAGAAAAAAGAAAAAATATGACAGATACAGAGAGTAGGGGTTAGAGATACAAACTAAACAATTACAGATATTCCTCAGGAAGGCTCCAGAGCAAATGCCAACAGAAGTAGTTGAGGAAAACTTTCATGAACTGAAAAAAAAGTAAATAACCCATGGATACAAATTTTAAAACATCAACATAGGCATGATAAATGCATGTATAATCGCAGTTAGGTAAATTCTAGAATTTTTCAGAAAAAAGAAAAAATCAAAGAAATGGCTTGATGTAAAAATGATGAATCAATACATGATACGTTAATTAGTTTCTGAGCATTAAATAAAAATTACAGTTTAAAATATTTGGGGTCAGTAAACAAATATATGGAATGGATCTTCTCCCACCCCAACTTCCACCACCACATCCACTGCTGTGTAAGACCAGCACTGGAGAATCAGAATTCTGGCAGTCACAGGTCGTGTGAGAACATTAGTCCATCCATATGTCCTTCTGCTCCCCTTTGACATGTGACTAGTTAGACAATGTGTGGCTGCAGGCTTGCTGGGTTTCCTGAAGAGAGCCCTCTGCGGCCCTCATCGCGTCTCCCCAGTGCTGGGCTCAGTTTCTCCTGTGGCCATACAAGGCAGGCGGTGAGCGTCTGTGCACGGAGGTAAGATCCTCCTGAAACCATCCAGGGTAAGGAGCGAGGAAGGAGGTGGTGCCCAACTAAAGAAGTTCCTGGAGGTCAGAACCGTCGCGTGCATGCGTATCCCAGGAGGTCTGCTTTCTAGCAAGACCAGGAAGCTGTGTGGGTATCTGGAAAAAAGCACCAGTGGAGGCCAGCATCGTCTAATAAGGATGCTGTTTACTTTTACTTGACCCCATTCTGGGCCCAGCCACAGTCTGCTAAAATGCTTCTAACATTCATCACCCACGTGAGAGACATAGTGTAGTAACTTCTTGATGAGATGACCGAGGAAAAGGGGAATGAGCACTGGGGGCACTGGCTTCTGCCGGTGGGAAAATTCTAGTATAAGGAGTTACTCTTACTTTTAATCACTGAACATGTATTTGTTTGAGTGCCTTTAAAATACGTATTCATCTATCCACTCCAAAAAGCAAGCCCAAACTGAGACCTCAGAATCAGAAAGCTTCTCAATTTCTCTGCAGTATTCATTCATTCATTCATTCATTCATATCTATGCATTGAGGTGCTGTAAATCACACAGAGGTGGACAACATTCAGTCCTTCCCTCCAGGGCCTTATGATAGACTCTAGCAAATAAAACCAAACAAGTACAGAATCCTGTGGACTTTATAACAAAGGAGAAATCCCCTCTTGGTGTATCTTCGAGGAAGGCACACCTCTCTGGCTACCCAGCAGGACTAAAAGTGGAGAATTGCAACACAGGCAAGTTCCTCCTCAAACAATAAATATCCCCAGGGCTGCTGACTGGGAGATCACCTGCTGAAGATAGAGAGGTCAGCCTTTTTCCCCAACAGATTTAGCTTCCTAAATATCTTACCTTCCATCTTTACTTACAGGCCACACTTTTCTACTATTTATTTATCATGTTCTATTCAGTTACTGCTTTAATTGGCATTAATCACCACCATAAAATAAGAATAATAATAAATACCATTAACTGGTATAGACACTTCACTAGTTCATTTCACCTCTTCCTGCTATTTTTAAAGAAGCACCCGGTACATGGAATACTCAGCTTTTGGACATCTAAGACCTTTGCTACCATTCTTATGTGCATCGGCAGCATTTCCCATCTTGCTGCAAGGTAGCTAACTTTTCCTTCCTAAAATAACTGTCTTCCTAGTAAGCTTCCTATGTATTTTTGCGTCTCTCTAATGGCATTATACTTATGTATTCTTTCAAGCATATCATTCAAAGCTACAAAATAGCACAAGATTCTTGACCAGCACATCAGCACTTGTAGGACCAGCACATCTCCTTGCAAGAAACAGTTTAGCAAATACAGATCTTTGATGTAGAAAGAAAAGAGGAAACTATTTTTAAGATTTTCCAACCCTAAATTCTACATATTACCGTTATGGATATTTAGATATATCCATAAATATGGATACTTTAGTTGTGAAGCCAAAATCTTTAACTATCATCTTGATCCCATTCTTCTCCTTCCTTCTTTGTCCCTAAGGGCAATCACCATCATGAATTTAGTGTACAAACTTCCAATTCTTTTTATGCCTTTACATACATACCCTATACCCATAACCAATATCCAATATTAATGTTTTTATTCCAATTAAGATATCATTATATTACATGCATCATCTGCCCTTTGATTTTTCACTCAACATCATGGTTTTGAGATCTTTCCCTGTTAATACTTATAGTTTGTTGCAGTCAATTGCTGTACATTATTCCATCATATAAATATAACACATTTTATTCAACCATTTCCCTAATGATAGGCATTTCCAGTTTTCCCCACCCCCAATATGTGGCTGCTAGAAATCATGCTAATGGTTTCTGGTTACCAGAAATCACACTGCAAAGAACGTGATGGCACACATCTCCCTGTGTATATGTTTCAGAGTTTCTCTAAGGCATAATACCAAAAAAAGAAATTTTGGTGCATTTGAGGGTGTAACTTTAGGAAAGTTTCTCTATTCAAGTTTATTAAGTCATTTTCCTAAAGGTTTAGATTTTTTTTCACATTGGATCTTTCTTTTTTAATGTAAGATATAAGGCAGGAATCTCTCTCTCTCTTTATCTACAGAGAAAGCCAATTATTACCCAAAATATTATTTAAGTAATCATTTCTTCACAGAACTGGAATGTATCTAGGCTTCATATTCCATTCCATTAATCTAATATCTATTAGTGCATACTGTCACAACGTTTTAATAATCATACCTCTGTATCAAAAAATTATACCATCTGAAAATATTTATTCCTTTTCAATCTTATACCTCTTCCTCATCTTACTGCATTGGCTCTGGCCTCTAGGATTACACTGATTTGTGGTGGTGATATCAGGCATCCAGGTCGTCTCTGACTTTAATGGGAATGTTTCCAAAGATTCAGCATTAACTATGATGTTTACTGAAAATCTTTTTGGATACAGGCTTTTCATTAATGTTTCTCCTCATAAGAATGTTCTGCTGTCTCAGAGATTTTGAGCTGCTGCTAAAGGCTTTCCTGCATTCATAATGTTTTACCCCAGAATGAATCTCTGATGTGTAGAAAGCCTACTGAAGGTTTTACTATATTTAAGGCATTCATATTATCTCTAATGAGTATGAATTTTCTGATGCCTGATGTGGTGTGATTTCTGACTGAATGCTTTCCCACATGTGCTACACTGATAAGGCTTCTCACCTGTGTGTGTTCTCACGTGTAAACCAAGAGTTGAGAACTGAGAGAAAGCTTTCCCGCACTGAGTACATCCATAGGGCTTCTCCCCTGTGTGGCTTCTCATATGCACAGTAAGAGATGAGCTTTGACAGAAGGCTTTCCCACATACCTTACATTCATAAGGCTTATCACCTGTATGAATTCTCACGTGTACAATAAGTGATGTGATTTGAGAGAAGGATTTTCCACATTTATTACATTCAAAGGGTTTCTCTCCTGTATGAATGTTGTGATGTTTAATGAGGTATTGCTTCTGGCTAAAGGCTGTTCCACAGTCATTACATTTAAAGGGTTTCTCTCCAATATGAATTTGTTCATGCTTTGTGAGATTTGATTTGCTGCTGAAGGTTTTCCCACATTCTTTACATGTATAGAATTTTTCTCCAGTATGCATTTTCTGGTGTTTAATGAGGCTTGACTTCTGAATAAAAGCTGTCTCACAGTCATTACATCCAAATAGTTTCTCTCTAGTATGAATTTTCTGATGGGTAATGAGATTTTCTTTCTGATTGAAGGATTTTCCACATTCCTTACATTTGTAGGATTTCTCTCCAGAGAGCAATGTGATGCTTAGTGAGGTATTGGTTCTGCCTGAAGTCTTTCCCTCATTCATTACATTCAAAGGGTTTCTGTATGAATTTCCTCATGGTCAGTGATATTTGATTTGTGGCTGAAGGCTTTCCCACATTTCTTATAGGAATAAGATTTCCTTCCAATATGAATTCTCCGATGACTTATGAGGTTTGACATCTGAATGGAAGCTTTCTCACATTCATAGGTTTAAATTTTCTAAAGTTCTGTGCCAGAAGTTGCTTCTTCTGGCAGAACAGTTCTCCAAATTTGTTACATTCATAGAGTTTCTCCACAGTTTGAATTTTCTCATATTCAATTAGTTTGAATAACTGGCTGAAGGTTTTCCAATATTCCTTGCATGTACAGGTTTTCTCTGCTACATTATTTCTCTAGCAACTAATAAGAAGAAGCACATGAATATAAGGATCCCACATGGACAGAGTTCTCAGGGTTTCTCTCCACTGTGTATTCTCAGGTATTTGATGAGATTTACTTCTGAATCCCTGTTCATACAGATTTCGCTTAATGGGAGTTACTACATGATAGGATGAGTTATAACATATTTATTATATTCATAGCATTTCTTTCTTACATAGATTCCTTCATAATATGTTAAGTCAAAATTAAGTTTTCAATTCTTTCCAAGTCAGTCACATTGACATAGGCCTTGTCTTGAAGAAACAATATGTGAACTCAGAGGGTATGTCTTTCCAATTTACTCACATTCACTGCCTTTTTCCTCTGTATTTTCTTGGAGATATATATAATTTGACTTGTAAGTCTTTCAGTTGCCTCTAAAACTGCTTATTAACTTCCAAGATTTCTTCTAAAATGAAGTACAAAGAATAATCATTAAAAATTAATATGTGAAAATTGCTTAAAACACTGTTTAGCATGCAGTAAGCATGCAAAAAACTATTACTGTAATCATCATCACTTAAAAATTTTTCCACTATTACATTATTAATAAAATTTCAGATATTTGCTACTAGGGGGTAGACTCTTCAGTTTCAGGCCCAAAGAATCCCACAATATGACAGGAATCCTGAGTGCTAATATCCACTGGCCCCTAATTTTGAGAAGGAAACTCTTACAGAGAAACTTTGGGTAGAACACTGACATTTGATTAGTATGTATAGCTTTGAATGCTTTTAAATTAACCTTCCATAACTCAGAAATCAGCAAAGTGAAAGGATCACAAAATGAGTAAGTAACAAATAGGATGAAAGAGTGAGTTCATGACAAGAGTCTATTTAGATGACTAGACAGAGGTTAGAATGACCAAAAGGATAAACAAGGGGGACACAGTGTGTTAAACATAACAGAATGACACAGGCACTTATTTTTGCTTCCTCCAGAAATTTCATTAAAGTTATGTAAATGGGAGAGTGGGACAACAGAAACTCACAAGAAAAAGGAGAATTGCTATAGTTGATGAGATATATCAACAAAGTTTTCAAAGACGGCAAGCAGACGGCAGACTGGAAGTGCACATAAAGGTGCCTGCAGAAAAGAATGTCAGTGAAAAGTAAGGTATAAACCAATCACTGCAACAGCTCATGGACTGGAGGAACCAAATGCCTCAAAAGGCGGTGACAAAGCAAGCAGCTGAAAAAAAGATTTATAAGTAGTTTGAAACTCATCAACCTCATCCCCACTCAAGTGAAGTGATTGCCACCCGTGGTAGTTCTAAACTATGTCCACAGATTTTTTGGATACTTTTCCTGGTCCCCTGCTTTGAGTGTGGGCTGGACTTAGCGACTCACCTCTAATGAACAGATTGTGGTGGAAGTGAAGGGATGTGACCTCTGAACCTAGGTCATAAGAGGTACTGTGGTTTTCTGACTATGTTCTCTCTCTTTCTTCTATCACTTGCTCTGGGGGGAGGCTATTAAGCCAGTTGTTAGGACACTCAGGCAGCCCTGTGGAGAGGCCCATGTAAGAAGGAACTGCAGCTGTCTGACAAGAGCCAGCAAGGAACTACCAAAAGCCATGTGGGTGAGCCATCTAACCAGGGCACAGAGGTTCCAGTCCAGTCAAGCCTGGCCAGCAGCTTGCCTGCAACCTCATGAGAGATCCTGAGGCAGAATCAGCCAGCTAAGCTGCTTCCACATGTAACCCTCAGAAACTTTGAGACAATAAATGTTTGTTGTTCTAAGCTGCGAGGTTGTGGGGCAATTTTTTATGCAGAAACAGATAACTAATATACCACTATACTACCCTGGCAAAGAATAGAATATTTATTCTCTCGAAAAAATGAATCAGAGAAGCTTCAGCCACAGGGATATGAAGAAAAGCAGATGGCGGGGGGGGGGGGGCACCAAAATGAAATTAGGGGCATTCAATAAATGGTGGGATCTCATCACTGTTGGAGTCCCAAAATTCTGATAGTCAAGAGATGAAAAGACGCTTCTCCAGCAAGATGGAACAGCCCAGAAGACCTATAGTAATAACATTTTTGGGCCAACAAAGAAATGTCTGAATTCTTGAGCGAAAGTTCTACAGCAAAGCTTACAAGTTGACAAGCCCTCAAATATCTACATATATAGATATGATAGTCATCTTTTTAGTGCATTATTAATAAAAGATGAATGGACTGCTATTAATCAACTAGGGAAAACTTAGTAATATGTAATCGTAATGTAAATGTAAACTTGGTAATATGAAAGACAGATGAAAACAATAAAAAAAGAACTACAGAAATGGCTATAGGAAAGGAACAGAAAAAGACAACAAAAAACCCCTGCCCAAACCCCCCTACAATAGCACAGAGAGATAAGAGGAGATATTCTACCAAGGAAACAAATACCAAGTACTATAAAACCTGTTCTTGGAAATTAAAAATAGGATAGCTATTATGAAAATTTTCATAGCAGGGGTCAGCCCTGTGGCTTAGTGGTTAAGTTTGGCATGCCTCTCTTTGGCGGCCTGGGTTTGGTTCCTGGGCATGGACCTATAACACTTGTCAGTGGCCATGCTGTGGCAGCAACCCACACACAAAATAGAGGAAGACTGGAACAGATGTTAGCTCAGGGCAAATCTTCCTCAGGAAAAAAAAATTCATAGCAGGTATGGGAAATAGAGTTGTGGAAATCATCCAGTTGCTGAAAAAAAAATAAAGAGTAAAAAAACAAGGTAATAAAAGATGAGAAAAATAACAGATAAAATCAGGAATTTCAACATCCTGCTCAAAGGAGTTCCAGAAAAAGAAAGAGGAGAAAATTGAATGGAGGAAAATTTCAGAGAACAAATATAAGATTTCTGGAAATACAGGTCACCCTTCTTCAAAATAAAGTCCACTGTACAATGAACAAAAAAAGACTCATACCGAAGCACACATTTGGGAAATTTCAGAAAACTAGGTATGAAGAGAAGATCTTAAATGCTTCCAAAAAGAAAGAGCAGCAATAACAAAACACAAGTCAAACTGTCATCATACTTTAAGATAAAAACTGTAAGCTGGAAGACAATCGTATAATTCTCTCAAATTCCCAGGGAAAGCTATATCCAACCTAAAATTCCAACCTAGTTAAGCTATCACACAAAAGAGGCAGAATAAAGACGTTTTTCAGTTTTGTAAGGGCCCCAAAGTTATACTCCAAATTAACCTAAGATGCTAATGGAGGACTTTTTTTTTTTTTTACCAAAAAATGGACTAAATCAAGAAAAAAAAAAAAAGAAGACATAAGCTCCAGGAAACCAGTAATCCAACATAAGAAAGGAAAGGGTTGAAGGAAATTCCCAAGATGTTCATGTGCTGGTTTAGTTTTTCAGTCCCACACTGAACCTTCTATATACTTCTCTGTAATACTGGGACTGGCAGTCTGCAAACTACATTTCCCAGGCTCCTTTGCCAGTTGGCTTCCTTTTATTCATTGATAAATCCAACACACTGATTAATTAACTCTACAGTGGAGAAACCTCATAGGCACCATTTAAACTAAGTAATAAAAGTTAACATCAACAGTAATGAACTATATTGACGTTATGTGTCTCCTGATAGGATAAACTGAGAAAGACATAGCATCACTTATGGGGTAGTCCTCCCCAAAATGTATAAATGATGAAGAAACGTCAGGTAAACCCAAATTGAAGAACATTATACAAAATAACTAACCTGTACTCCTTGAAAATGTTAAGATCGTGAACAGGTGGAGTAAACAGAAAACAAATAGTAAGGTGGTACACTTAAACCCAAATACTTTAGTAGTTTCATTAAATATACAGAAGAGAGATGAGGATACTTGGGGATTGGGGACAGACAAAACCAAGCATCTCATAACAAAAAATTACTTTGCAATCTTCTCTCTTCCTTTAAAAGCATGTTGAATTTGCATTCTAATCATAATAAATATGACTATGTTAACATAAAAATCCGTTTATGTGGTTTATCATCTAATAGGTTTGTTTTTGTCCTCCTGTCAACCTCCAAATAAAATTGATGGTCCAGAAAGATGCGCTCTTGTTATCATTTTACAAATGACTAACATGAGGCTCAGAGGTTAATGTCTGATACAGAGAACAATCTTGGTCTCCCAGATAGGTGACCCACATTCACATGTACACAACACCCAGTCACACCTGCGGTCACAGCTCAGCATCTTCGGATTCTCCTGTGCCCGCCCTCCTCCTCGCCTGAGGGCGCGCCGCGCGCACACGCACGCAGACACGCGCGCGCGCACACGCTCGGCTTCCGAGACTGTGATTCCCTCCCTGTAGTCTCCTCGACCCGGTCCAGACCGAGACAGGTTCCACCTTCACTCTCACCCTCAGCGCTGCGCGGACCGAGGCCAAACTCACCGATGGACAAAGATAAGAACGTCAGGTCAGTGTTTCATGCCCTCTGCCTTCCGTGGGCGAGCTACAACCTCCAGGCATCTCCAGGCGCCGCCGGGCGGTTACGGGGCAGGACCAGGCTCCGAGCTGAGAAGAATCAGTTCGCTCGCATTCTGGCCGGATTGGCTGCTTTTCTAGCCTGGACTACATTACCCATAGGCTCTGCGGCTGGAAGCTACTTCCGCCGCGAACCGGCCGTCTCGTCTTGAGCGTACCGCCGATACCCGAGCTGCCCGGGATGAGTGGGCCTGGCGCCGCTAGCCAGCCGGCTGGCTCCACCTGCGAGCCGCTCCGCGGCCGGACCGTGGGTTCTCTTTGGTGCGGAGAGGCGGTAAATGAGCGCAAGCCCAGCGCAGTGCGCTGAGAGGTGTTAGGAGGTCTGCCGTCCACCTCTGGACTACATTTCCCAGAGGACTCTGCAGGCGCGCTACGTCCCGCGGGATTTTGGCCGCTTCTGTACAGGGTGGCGGGACGCTCTGCTCCGCGAAGTTACCTGCTGTGGGGCCTTTGGAGTCCGGCGCAACTTGGCCGGTTTGGGCCGGACCGGAACTAGGGAAGGACTAGGGTGAGGAGTCTGTTTCCCATCCTTTTGTCTCCCGAGCGAGCTAAAGAGAGAAGATCGTATGTGTGTGTGTGAGAAGGATTGTGATTGTTACTGTGTTTTCGTGTGTGACTGTGACTGTAGGTAGTGATAACTCTGGATGATGGAGGGAAGTTCTAGTGTCCATGTGTGTTCCCAAAATGAGTACGTGACTGTGACTGCACGACGGCGCGCCGTCTCGCATGGTGATCGTGCAGTTGGGACCCTGTGCCCAGGTGGTGGGTGTGTGGTTGTGTGAATGTGTCAGCATCGTGTGTGTGCGAGTTGGAGGTCTGTGACTGTGTGACGTTAGGCGACTGTGGCTGTGCAGGTGCAACTAGTGGGACCCCCTTGGTGAGTGTATGTGTGAGATTGTGATTGTCTGGCGGTGGGGCAATGGGTCTGTGGGTGTGGGGAGGCCAGTGGCTTTGCGATTGGGACTTTGTGTGTCCCCTGGGTGTGTATGTGGGGTTATATGTAACCAGGTGACCTAACACAGCGCTATGTGTGCACACGGGGGGAGGGAGGTGGTTGTGCTTGTGCAAGTATGACTTCACCGCTCTGTACCCAGGAGACGTCTGTGAGCTCATAATTGGTTCTGGCCCTTTCTTGTAAGAGCATTGGCTGAACTCTTCAGTCTTCCCTGACCTTCCTCTGTGTGTGTGTGTATGTGTATAGGGGCTGGAGGAAGTGTGCGTTCCAACCTGGTCGGCTGGGATTTCAAGAAAAGCCATATGTCTCATCAATTTCTTCTTTCTCCCACAGTTCTGTCACTGAGAGGAAAAGGGAAGAATGGTTATTGAACATCCAAAGGCCGAGATCAAGGTTCTGTGAAGTTTTTTCTTTCTTCCCTGAAATCTTTCTTTCTTCGCTGAAATCTTTCTTGTTTTTCAGAGCTTAATTTTATTTTTCCTCTTCTGACCATTCCTAACTACCAAAAGCCCATTCAAGAGACCGTGTCCTAGGTATTTCCCATTTTGATACATAATGGGGGCCTTAGGGTTAGACCCAAGGACCCAGTTTCCTATCTATCCCTCTGTCTTAGTATTAATTTGGCAGTTTCTCTTGTGTGCCAGATCTCCTCTAACATCTCTGCTGGCCTAGTGAGGCAAATACAACAGCCTTTATCATAACAGCCGAATTGTTGAAAATAAGATTAGTGCATTTGTAGCATCACACACCACAGTCCTGGTACTGAAAGCCATGCCGTTTATGAGAAGGTGTTGGTTAGTCTCGTTCCAAGGAGGTGATAAGATCTTTCACTTTGCCAGTGTTTTTGGAGTAGGAATGAGACTAGGGGCTCGATCAAAGAGTTCTACACCAGTAGGACCAGGGATTTGCCACGTAATCTGTGGATAAACACTTGGACCAGTTTCCAGGTCTATTTTGAATTAAATGTTGAAATGGTCCTCATTGGGGTTCTCAACCTGGAGTCCGCGGACTCCCCCACTGGACTTCTAAAGGGAAGGCGGACTGTAATGATGATCACTTAGGCTTACAAAAAAGGAGAACCATGGATAGATCTAAAAGCAGAGAGTATAACACCTTGGGACAACCCTTGAGATAATCATATCCAAAATTAGTTTTCGTAAGTAGGGAAATTTTAAATAAATCCCACTATACGGGAGCATTTTATGCAGCTGATTAAAACTATGTTTGAGATACAGCATATGCATTTTCATTATTATGAGTAACATTAAGCAACAGTAAAATAAATAGAAATACTCAAGAAATTGTTATATTTAAATCGCCCCCGTATTTTTTAGGAAGAGAAGTATTTGTAAGAGGGCCAAAGGCATGTGAAGTCCGCAGAATGATGAAGCTTCAGAGCTCTTAATTTGCAGCTCAGTAAATCTCAAAACAAGTCTTAAACAATGTCAAGCTCCTCAGAAGCTCCCTGAAGATTCACTTTAAGGAAATAGATGTCCTAAAAGGCAGATTATGAATAATAGGGGAAAACTATTTTCAGTCAGCAGAACTAGGCTCCTTGACTTCTCCAGTATCACTTCCTAGAAGAGATCTCTCTGAATAGAATTTAGCCATTTGTCTATCTAGCTAGCAGATGATGACCACATCCACAAATCCTTCCTTCCTCTGAAATGGCAGACTTTCTTCTTCTCCAGAGGCCTATACTCCCATATTGCCCTGGTTGGGGTAGGGATGGCGAAGGGGCAAAGAGAAGGGGGGTAAGGTGATCAAAACATTATAGGTGGACAACATGTACACAGGATTGCTTAGGCAATGTTGTGTCTCATTCTAGACTTCATACAGCAATTAATTAGACTATAAAACATCTAAAGTTTGGAACTCTAGGTAGACAATTTATTACTGGGAGCAAGGGAGCAGTTCTAGACAGTGGAGAGAAGGTGGTAAGCCTGTGCTCAGCTAAGTGAGAGGAACTCAGAAGTTGGAAACCGTGCACATGAAAGTTCAGCTGGTCCCCATCTAGGCCACAGCCATCTCTCATTTGATCTTGCAATAGCGTATCACTGGTCCCCCTGCTTCCTTCATTGCCTGCTTAAATTCCTTAGCACAGCAGCCAAGGTGATTCCTCCAAAATGTAAGTTGGATTATGTCACTCCTTGACTTAAAACTTTCTGTGGCTTTCCATCTTAGAATAAAAACCAAAGTTTCTGCCGTGGCGTACATAGCCCTGTGTGATCTGTTTCTGTTCTGACTTTAGCTTCTGTAATTTTTTTTATAACTTAATTCTGCCTCCTCTGCATTTGAGCTTGCTCGTCCCCCTGCCTGGAATTTTCGTACTCCCAACATCTGCATCACTTACTCCTTCACGTCTTCAAGACTTGCCTCACATGTCAACAAACTGGAAAAGCCCTCCTTGACCACCCTGTATAAAACAGCTTCTTCACCATGTACTTCCTATCTCTCTTATCCTATTTGATTTTTCTCCGTAGCTCTTAGTACCATTTTTTTACCAAGATATAATTGATATGTAACATTATACTAGTTTCAGGTGTACAACCTAATGATTCAGTGTATGTCTATATTGTGAAATGATCACCTCAGTAAGTCTAGTTAACATCCATCACCACACATAGTTAGAAATTATTTCTTGTGATGAGAACTTTTAAGATCTACTCTCTTAGCACCTTTCAAATATACAATACAGTATTATTAACTGCAGTCACCATGCTGTACGTTACATCCCCAGGACTTATTTATTTTAAAAACTAGAAGTTTATGCCTTTTGACCACATTTATCCATTTCACCCACCCGCCATCTCCCCGCCCCCCACCTCTGGCAACTGCCAATCTATTCTCCATATCTATGAGTTTGGTTTTTTTTTCAGATTCCATATATAAGTGAGATCATACGGTATTTGTCTTTATCTGTCTGACTTAGCATAATGCCCTCGAGTTCCATCCATGTCAGAAATGGCAAGATTTCCTTTGCTATGGCTGCGTAGTATTCCACTGCATATATACACCATGTTTTCTTTATCCATTCGTTCGCTGATGGACTCAGGTTGCTTCCATGTCTTGGCTATTGTAAATAATGCTGCAGTGAACATGGATGGGGGTGCAGATATTTTTTTGAGTCACTGTGTGTGTTTTCTTGAGATAACTACCCAGAAGTGGATTTGCTGGATCCCATGGTAGTACTGTTTTTAGTGTTTTGAGGAATCTCTGCATATTTTCTATAGTGGCTGCACCAATTTACATTTCCACCAATGGTGCACAAGGGTTCCCTTTTCTCCACATCTCCGCTAATGCTCATTATTTGTTGTCTTTTTGTTAATAGCCATTCTAATAGATATGAAGCAATATTTCACTGTGGTTTTGATTTGCATACCAATTTTTAAATGTATTTATGTGTTTGTGTCCATCATCTACAACAAAATCTAAAGTATATCTCTGTGGTGTTCCAAGGACAGTGAGGGGGTGGACAGGGAATTTAGTATGGTTTCTTACTGTAGCAGTGGCAGGCTAGGCTAGGCCATGCTGTGTTAACAACACCTAAATGTCAGTATCTTAACGTGACAGGTTTATTTCTCATTCAGCATGGGCTGTGTCTATACTCTTGTCTTCCTTTCTGTCTAGTTTGTGTGGCCAGGTACTCAAGGCCTTGCAGTCTTTGGCATGGGTTGGGCAGCCCCTGCTTAGACTCGATGGTTCTAAATATAGCCAGGAAGAAGCCAAGAGATTTTATATCTCTAGCCTGGTGCAGAAGCCTCTGGAAGTCTTTGCCTAGGAGCTGAACATGTGCAAGTATGGTGGGTTTCTAGCTTGAGGACTCCCCCTTTGACTTAGGCTGTAACTTCAGTAACTCTCCTTGGGGAAGCTTGGCTGCACCTGCAAAGGGGGAACTGTAATGAGGCCGTTATTGTTGTGCCCGCTGAGGTCCAGATCAGCTTCTTGAGATTAGGGTAATGGTCTGCCTGAGTCCCTCCTGCAGAGGTGCCTGGGCCCCTCTCAGTGCCGGAGCACATCTGCCCTGAATCCATCCTGCCGTTCTTGGGTTCCCCGAGCTTAGGGAAGGGCCGGGATCTGTATACACCCCTTTTAGTTGCCATCAGAGTGTGTGTGTGTGTGTGTGTTTGTGTGTGTGTGTTGGGTGGGGAAGGTAGGGGTAGGCAGCATAGCAAGGAACTGGAAGGGGAGTGTGGAGTTCTTTGGGGCATATCTGGGAGTTATTTTTTCTTTCTCCACAGCTGCTTTCTTGGGATGCTATACTTTTCCAAGAGAGGAATCCAGAGAAATACAGCTTGGGTTACAATTTTAAAAGCCATGCTCCAGGTGAGTTATTTCTTCTCTGAAAAATAGTGTCTTTTAAACTGTTTTAACTACTTGACATACAGTTTCAGGTTTACAACATAATGATCAGACATTTGTCTATATTGTGAAATGGTCACCACAGTAAGTCTCGCTAACATCTATTACCATATATAGTTATAAATTTTTTTCTTGTGGTGAGAACTTTTAGGATCTATTCTCTTAGCGACTTTCAAATATGCAATACAGTATTATTAACTGTAGACACCATGCTGTGTATTATGACCCCCATGACTTATTTATTTTATTGAAATACAGTGTCTTGGTTTTTTTCTTTTTTTCTTTGCATGAACATTTATTTTCTTTATCTAGAAACTTCCTTGCCCAGCTGAGCTCCATCCATGAACCCATCCCCCATCCTTCCAGTCTGTCAGGGAGTGAGTGGTGGTGCCCAGCGGCCTGGGCTTGTCCCTTTGTGTCCCACTGTGACAGTGTTCACATTTGTGTGCAGTGCTCCATGGCGGAGCCTAAGCACCTTCCAGGGCGGGCAGGAGCAGAGCTTCCCTTATCAGACCGTGGCTTAATGAAGCGGAAAGGACTGTCGAGTGGGATAACTGATCTTCACAAGCCTATTTACTTTTCCTTAATTTTTGAGTTCCCCCTTTAAAAAAAAATGAAGTATTGGGGCCAGCCCCGTGGCGGAGTGGTTAAGTTTGCACGCTCTGCTTCGGAGGCCCAGGGTTTCGCCAGTTCAAATCCTGGGCGAGATCATGGCACCGCTCATCAGGCCATGCTGAGGTGGCGTCCCACATGCCACAACTAGAAGGACCCACAACTAAGAATACACAACTATGTACCAGGGGGCTTTGGGAGAAAAAGGAAAAATAAAATCTTTTAAAAAAGGTGAAGTATTTCATACTCAAAAGAATAATAGCGGGCCGGCCTGGTAGCACAGCGATTAAGTTCGCACCTTCCGCTTCTCAGCGGCCTGGGGTTCGCTGGTTTGGATCCCGGGCGCGGACATGGCACCGCTTGGCACGCCATGCTGTGGTAGGTGTCCCACGTATAAAGTAGAGGAAGATGGGCATGGATGTTAGCTCAGGGCCAGTCTTCCTCAGCAAAAAGAGGAGAATTGGCAGTAGTTAGCTCAGGGCTACTCTTCCTCAAAAAAAAAAAAAAGGAATAGAACATTCATGTACCTAACAAGACCCTTTTGCACCGTGCCCTCCCTCTCAAAGGGTAACCTGTAAAGACAATTTTGTAGCCTTCATTTTCTCGCTTTTCATAATTGTTTCACTGAATATCCCTGAACAGTATACTATTAGGTTTTCTATAGTTTTGAACTTTTTAACAGGTAAGATTAGCCAGATGCATAAGTTTTTGAGAATTGTAAATTTTCAAAGCTGTAAAGGAACTCAGAGATCTTGTTCAATCTAAACATCCAAAATAATGGAATGATTATGTCTTGCCTTCCTAAGATGAAAGATACAACCAGTTAAAAAAATTTATTAAAGAATTTGCATTATTAGGAAAAATGCTTATGATTTTGTCTAACAATGGAGATCCTTAGTATTTTCTGTACATCTTAATTATATCAAAGTCCTATTGTGTGTGATAGAGTTTTCGCTTGTTTGGTAAATATTTTAGAAAGATTCTGTCTTCCTTTAAGAAATAAGAAGAAAAAGCAAAGGGAGGAGCTCATATTTAAGAGTTTATTGTAAGTAGTAATTAGTATATCAGATGTTCACTATAAAATTCTTTCAACTTTGCTGATGTTTGAAAGTTTCCACAATAAAAATATTGGTAAGTCATGAATGATCATGAAAATAAATAGTAATTTGTCAGGCCTACAGGTTGCTGTGTGTTTTTGTGCTCTCTTTCATTTATTGGGGAAACTACAAGTAAATGTGTGTTCTATTCACTCCTAGCCCTAGCCATGGGATAATGGGAATGTCTCATTGTATGAAGGAGGTTTGTCTGCAGCAACAGGAATATTCAAGAAGATGGAGGTACTTTGTTCTCGTTACACCCGATCTTTTTACTCCGCCCTGTCCTTGGTCTCGCCCATTTGCTTAGTGTATTTTCTGCATCCCTCAGTGTCCTTTTCCATCTCTTCTTTCATCTTAAAAATGTTTCCTTTAATTTCAACAGTACTACGTGGTTTTGTCCTTTTAGGGGTTGGTGATGTTCAGGGATGTGGCTGTGGACTTCTCTCAGGAGGAGTGGGCGTGCCTGGACCCTGCTCAGAGGGGTTTGTACAGAGATGTGATGCTGGAGAACTACCACCACCTGGTCTCACTCGGTAGGGATAACTATCCCCAAGTCACTTGTGAATTTTGGGTGCATCTTTCAGTTGTCTGGGTGGATTTCTACCGATTTCCTAGGGAATTATTTTGTGTTCTATAGATGAGGAGATGGGCAGCTTTTGTGGAGCCTTTATCTTCTCCAGGCTTCAGACCTTTACACCTGCCTCTTGTCCTTCAGGTAGTTGCCTGTGTTTTGAGGACTGGGTTTGAATTCAGGAATAGCATGATTGTGTCTTATTACTTTTTCTTATAAACAGGACTTTCTCTTTCTAAGCCTGATGTGATTTCCTTATTGGAGCAAGGGAAAGAGCCCTGGATGGTTTCGAGGAACATGGCGGGAGGATGGTGCCCAGGTGAGTAACAGTTGAACAGACTGGGAAAGACACTGCAGTTAAGAACCCAGCTGGTGAGGAGGCAGCACCTTAAAGGTATTAATGAGGAATCTCTTCCTTGAAGGCCCATCCAGGGGTTGTGGAGAAAAGGCCTAAGACACATGGAAAAAAGGAAAGACCTTTCCTGTTACCCCCACCTGTACTCTCCATGCTACTGATCTGTCAGAATTCCCTCCAATTTTAAAGCCCTTTTTCTTCAGGAGCCATCCTGTTTCATATAACTTGGATCCACTTCTTTCCCTTTTAAATTTAAACTTGTGTGTGTGGTTTTTTTTAACCTCTTAAAATGCATTTTTTGGGAAGATTGGCCCTAAGCTGACATCTGTATCAGTCTTCCTCCATTTGCATGTGGGATGCCACCACAGCACGGCCTGATGAGCAGTGTGTAGGTCCGCACCTGAGATCTGAACTCGTGAACCCCAGGCTGCCGAAGCAGAGTGCATGACCCCAACCACTATGCCATCAGGCCGGCCTCTAAAGTACATTTTAGGCTCTACTGTTCATCTGTCCTACTGATCTTTAACTTTTCCTTCTTTTTCTTTCTCAGTTTTGCTTTGATGCAGGAATTTCGTGCATTAATGGATATGCATTCACTTTTAATTAGTGTTTATTGACTAAAAACAATTAGTGCAGCCTTTTTTTCTTGGTGGGTGGGAGTTAAAGAAGTATGTAAACTATTAAGAGAGAGTCTAATAAAGAGTCTAGAACATGTCCATAAATAACTTCCAGAAAGTAGACTCAAGCATAAGGCTTCTAATATAGTGCTTAGAAGACAGAGCTGAAGCTGGAAATATGGGAGAGTGCCAGGAGAAAAGGACATGCCTGCTTTTAGGAGGAAAAAGTATGCAGAAATGATTGAAGATAATAAGTAAATTATAGAAGATTTAGGTGTCAAGGAAAAGCAAGAGATCCATTTTCAAACAAGTTGGTGACATTCTTTTTTTTTTTTTAAAGATTTTATTTTTTTCCTTTTTCTCCCCAAAGCCCCCCGGTACATAGTTGTATATTCTTTGTGGTGGGTCCTTCTAGTTGTGGCACGTGGGACGCTGCCTCAGCGTGGCTTGATGAGCAGTGCCATGTCCGCGCCCAGGATTCAAACCAATGAAACACTGGGCTGCCTGCAGTGGAGCGCACGAACTTAACCACTCAGCCACGGGGCCAGCCCCATTCAAACAAGTTGATGACATTCTTAATGTGGGCAAAAATTGTGTTGTAAGTAGCATAGACTGAGGGATTTTTCTTTTGAAATATGAGAAAAATAAGGCTTTTTATTTTTTTTAAATGTGCTTTTAAGTAATGGAAATACTATCCATTTTTAAAAGTGTTCTAATTGTAGGATATGGAGGATTTCCTTTTAGTTTTTTTCACAGAACATTACAAATGTGTTTAAAAATTTTTTTATTGTATTACGTAAATTTTCAAATATGCACCAGGATAGCGGCCTGGATACCCATGAATCCATTTCCTAGCGTCAGGATTATCAGTTTTCCAGTCTTGTTTCATTTCTCCCCATTGACCTCTGCTCCCCCACCCTGAGGTATTTTAAAGCAAGTCCCAGATGGCACATGTTTAAGTGCTATTAAACAATAGGTTGCTTTTCGCAGTTTCTTCTATTTAAAATTACTCCTCTGATGAATCCTTATTTAGATGGGTATTTTTGTATTTGATTCTTAGATGTGAGATTCTTGGGCCAAAAAGTTTAAACCTTTTAAAGCTCCTGATACTCCAGTGCAGAAATAGCATCATCCAGTGATGCCGACTTGTCCAGCTCAATTCGGACAAGTATTAATAGTCGGTTAGTTAATTGAAAAGGTTAAAGTGAAAAAAAAGTATGGTATGCCATAACCATTTTATTTTTACTGAAAAGATTTAATTGCAGATTTTTTACCCATTTTCTGATGTCTGGGCCAGGTGTTTTCTTTGCAAACAGCTTCCCTATTTGGAGTTCTGCCTTATCTTTCACACGTACTAAACCCGTGAGGCATGAATTGTAATTTCACCTTTTGGTTTTTTACGTGAAGGGACAACATAAAGATTCTTGCAATCCCGTGTGAATAGAGAATCCTCTGGAGCTGTGTTGTCCTATGTGGTAACCACCAGCTACTGTGGCTGTTTAAATTTAACTTTAATTAAAATAAAATAAAACTTCAGTTCTTCAGGTGCACTAGCCATATTTCATGTGCTTAGTAGTCACATGTGGCCGCTGGCTGCCATGTTGGACAGTGCAGATTTGGAACATTTCCATCGTTTTTAAAAGGTTCTGTTGCATTTCTGTCATTGTAGGCCGTTCCTCTCCTGTGCACAAGTTTTTCAGTGTTGATTTATCTCCTTGTAATTCAAGCTCGTTTTTTTAGTGATTGGCCTGTATGAAGTCTTCCCAGAACATTCTACTTAATTTTTTTGTTTTAAAAACCTTTTTATTATGTAAGTTATGATATATGAAAAAGAATATATGTGAAATATAAAGCATAACAACAAAAAATCCTGTGACTCTGCCATACAACCCAAGAACTAGAACTTTACAGTGCCATGGCACCTAACTTGTGCTCATTTTTTATTGTATTTTTCTGCCTCCCCAGTGTCCCCATAGCACCTAATCTGATTTTTGTGTTTATTATTCCTTTGATCCTTTTATATGATTTCATAATTTTATCATGTATGTCAGTATCCATAAGCAATGTATTTAGTTTTTCTGTTATTGAACATTATAAAAATGGTTTCATACTATATGGAGCATTCTCTCATCTGGTTTTTTTTCACTTGATATCATATTTATAGGATTCACCCATGTCTTTGCATGTAGCTGTGGTTCATTAATTTTCATTGTAATATATTCTCCCATTATGTGACTATACCACAATTTATATATCTTTTCCCTGGCTCAATGTAATCTGGGTTGTTTTGAACCAAATTGCTATGAATATTCTTGTAAACCTCTGTTGTCGCTCATGTGTGTGAATTTCTCTAGGCTCTACCCCAGGAGTGGAATTTCTAGTTTGTAGGGTATGTAAATGTTCAGCTTTTCAAGACAATACCGAATTATTTTCAAAGTAGTCGTCCCAGTTTGCTCTTCCAGCACCAGAGTTTTCTTTGATGCATTTCCTCATTTGCACTTAGAATTTATAATCACACTTTAAAATGTGTGCCAATATAGTTATCTAGAGTTAGCCACACTCGAGGTGAAGGGCACAGTTCTCTAGACTGCCAGATTTGCTCAAGACTTCGACACCAGCTGAAAGTTCAAGGGGCCTACAGGGTCACCCGTCTTTCAGATCACCTGGCTGTAAATTTGGGGATCTTCATGGATTCCCTGAAGTTTGACAATTTGCCAGAACAACTCACAGAACTCAGGAACGCACTTTACTTATGATTAGTTTGATTATAGCATAAGAATGCCAGCAAAAGGATCAGGACCAACCAAGGGAAGAGACACATAGGGCGGAATCTGGGGTCGTTCCAAATGCAAAGCTTCCATGTCCTCAGGGATGTGTTGCCCTCCTGTCATTGACGTGTGACAGTATGCGTGGAGTATTGCCAACCCAAGATGCTCAGCTGAGCTTCAGTGTCCGAAGTTTTCATTGAAGCTTCATTACGTAGGCATGATTGATTGAATTATTGTCCTTGTGGTTGAACTCAACCTCCAGCCCCCTCTCCGTCTTTGGAGGCTCGTTCTGCCTGGCCCGAAGACCCAACCCTCTAATCATATAATTCATCTTTCTGGCACGGGGCAGCCCCCACTGGGAGTCACTGAGTTAGCATAAACTGTCAGATGTGGTCTAAGGGGCCCACTGTGAGTAACAGAGACACTCCCATCACTGGAGAAATTCCAAGGCTGTAGAGGCTACCTCCCAGGAGCCAGGACAAAGGCCAGACCTCTCTTTATGGAAAGTTAATTCTTCACTGTACAGTAGTGAATGCAAAATTCTACATTTTCCCAGTTGTTATTAGGTTGAACTTTTTTTTTTGGTGAGGAAGATTGTTGCTGAGCTAATATCTGTGGCAGTTGTCCTCTATTTTGCATATGGGATGCCACCACAGCATGGCTTGGTGAGCGGTATGTACATTTGCACCCTCAGGATCCGAACCCATGAGCCCCAGGCTGCTGAAGTGGAGTGTGGAAACTTAACCACTACACCACCAGGCAGGCCCCTGAACATTTTTTAAAAAGTATATTTGCAGGCATCCCATGTATAAAAAGTGAAGGAAGATGGGCATGGATGTTAGCTCAGGGCCAGTCTTCCTCAGCAAAAAGAGGAAGATTGGCAGCAGGTGTTAGATCAGGGCTAATCTTCCTCAAAAAATAAAATAAAATAAAAAAAAATTAAAAAGTGTATTTGCTGTTTGTACTTCTTTTTTAAGTGAAATTTTGCCATGTTTTCTGCTAGGTTGGTTAGGTTTATTTTCTTAATAATTAATTTGTAGGAGTTACTTATTTGTTTACTTAAAATTGTGGTAAAATATGAATAACCACGTTTACTACCACTTTAACCTTATTTGAGTGTAAATTTAGTGGCATTAAGTACATTCACATTGTTGTGTGACCATCACTATATTTGTCTCTAGAACTTTTTCATCATCCCAAAATGAAACTGTGTACTCATTAAATAATAACTCTCAGTTCCTCTCTCCTCCCAGGCCCTGGCAACCACCATTCTACTTTCTGTCTATATGAATTTCACTACTCTGGGTATCTCATATGAGTTGAATCATACAATGTTTGTCCTTTTGTGACTGGCTTATTTCACTTAGCATAATGTCCTCAAGGTTCACCCATGTTGTAGCATGTGTCAGGATTTCCTTTTTAAGGTTGATTAATATTTCGTTGTATGCATTTACCACATTTTCTTTATCCATTCATCCATCGATGGATGCTTGGATTGCTTCCATCTTTTGGCTCTTGTGAATGATACTACTAAGAACATGGGTGTACAAATAGCTGTGTGAGTCCCTGCTTTTAAGGT